TCTTCTCTCTTCTCTCTTCTCTCTCTCTTCTCTCTTCTCTCTCTTTCTCTCTCTCTCTCTCTTCTCTCTTCTCTCTTCTCTCTTCTCTCTCTCTCTCTGTCTCTCCCCCCAGTGTGTGAGCCAGTGAGCCACATATGTTTCACAACCGTGGAAAGGACCCCTTTGGCCCTCATGGACCCCAGCAATTTATACTGGTGAACGTGCCATAGGCATAGATTAATCAAAAATATGTCAAAAGATTGCCCAACCTTTTCTGAGCTAACAGTCTCAATTATTTCTCAAAATTGGCTAAACAATTATATAGGAGCTCAAGCTACCACCTTTTGAGTCTAAGCACCAAGTGGGAATAACATGGAATGGAATAACTATTTGTCTGCATGCAGAGGCCAAGATGGTGTGTAGATAGGCGTGCCATGTCTGAGCTGATGCCCATTCGGAGCCTAGACGCAGCTCAGGCGGTTTGGCCGCCAGCTCGCGCCTTGGCAGATCAGGTTGCATGCCAAGAAGTGCACTCGGTGTAACGAAGAGATGCGCAACATCAAAACAAGGGCACACTGCAATAAAATGCAAACAAATGAGCTTAGTGCAGCACATTGTGCCAATCAAAGACTCAAGCTTCTCAGCGCCTTCGGCGACCTGCACGGCACCTGCAACTCAAGCAAGCCACTGTCTCCATGCGTCCATGCCTTGCCTGGCTCCTCTCTCCCTTCCCATCAGTTCACATCACGACACTATCACAAACGATCACCTCGTCTGAGAATTCTCTGCTTTGTGCCCAAGCTGCAATCAGACATGGCCCTGATGTGGTCAGAACTCTCCAGCACGCTGCGGTAGTGGTCGCCAACCAGCTCTCGAAGCTCCGTTTTCTTGGTTTCCACCTGACAACGAGAAAACTCTAATGCAAATAGGTTTGGGAGCGGGCTGAGGGTGAGAAGCATTTTTTCACCATGCAGCTCAAGCTGTTGCTCCTGCAATGGGCCATTGCAAAGATGTTCTGCCAAAGGCATGCTCACTTGTGCGTCGTTGGCACATCGAGCAAAAATTGTTCGGAAAGGAAGGAGCAGGAGGTCCACATATCCGAAGGCAGGCCGGGTGCACGTCTGGGCTTCCACCTGGGAGTAACATACTGGCATGAAAAGAATGCAAAATGGACATACAGTCATCATACAGTACACAAGGTTTTTGGGCCATGCAACCTGAGGAAGATCTTCGGATGCCTAATCTGGTTCGACCATCGGATCACCAGCTTCGAGGCTCCGGAGCTTCCAAGAGAATAGAACAAGCACGCTGCAAGGATCAGGCAAGCTCCAAGAAGGTTCAGCGGTTCCAAATCCACCTACAAAAGCAACCACGGCTTGTTTTATCTGCGGCACCCGGATTCCAGTACCTATTCCAGCTTCATTGAGAACAGTGGGGACCAAAGCAAGCGATTCTGGCTTCGAGTGGACTCGTCCATTTCCCGGTGTGTGCGTGTGTCCCACCCTCTCTCTAATCTCTAAAGGTCTCATTCAATTCGACATGCACACAGGGGGCATGTGGCCATTACACATGCCAACGAAGCCATGCGTAATGGTGGAAGCTTGAATTGATCACTCCGGTGTACCTGGGACTTTCAGATCTGTGATTTTAAACATACCGTATTGTTTTGGATTCCTGAACCTACTGTTCGCACAGGGCCGTTTTTCCACAGTATGAATGATAAAGGGTTAGTGCACCTTCCTGGATCTTCACTCAATCAAGTCAAGCTCGTACGTGTGGCCTGCAGCGGTTCTTGGCATTCGTGGTGGTCAATGGTGATGTGTGGTCATCAAGTGCTTAGCAGCGATGCATGATGATGAGCCGTCTATTTTGTGCTTTCTGTTTTGTCTATCATCACGGATGAAATATATAAATACAAATATATATAATATATATATACATACTATACATAAATACATGCTGTGTGCGTGCATCTGTGGCTATTTTGGTGGCACTGTGATTCATGGTGGTGATCCTTATTATGCATAGTGACGTGTGGCAGCTTCAGTTCTATCTAGTTTTGTGATGTTGTTGTATGTCTGGTGATCGGAGATTCCTGCACTGTGAGCACCACGCACACTGAATGGCTCTTTCAATCAGTTCTTGCACCGGACCTCTGGCTGCCCATGTTTGGTGCGTAGAAGTGAGAGACTGCGCTTTTGGAACTGTTTTTAGATGTTTCATTATGTTTCCCAGTCATACATAAGAGATGGATGGGGGAAAGGGAACGTGTTGACCCCTTCTGTCTTGTTGAAAATCCAGCATTTGCTTCAAGTCTGAGCCCAACTTAAGATGAACTTACTTCCCGTGCTCGCATTCACAATGTCCAACTCTATTGGAGTTTGCCACTTGACATTCATTGGCATCTCTCCGTCCTGCTGAAAAAGTGCATTGATAATCCACTGGGGAATGATCTTCACGCCACCAATGATACCCACGGTTGCCACAGATGTGAGACCAGCGAGCCAGGTCAAGTTCACCTCAAAAGGAACATGCAAAAAGTAAAAAGTGAGTGTATGTATATACTATATACATAATACATATATGTAAGCCCAATAAAAGCTCTGCCAATACCTGTGGCAATCTAATGATTGAACTTTCAAAACCCTTGCTTGCGGCCTGGCCTGAAAAATTAGGACAAAAACGGCCCCTAGCAGCATCAAAAGTATTCCAGCGTTGGACTCCTCCATGAGTGCTCCCCACCAATTGTGCTGCCTGGTTTCGCACAGCATTGCCAGTGAAAGGGCTGTGATTGAACTCAAACAGAGTTTTATGGCGGTGAACTCGACCACGGACATTCCCTGAGTCTTTTCGTTATCAGGCCGAAAGAGTTCTTGAGCTCCCATGCGCAACGTAGAAACACAAAGGGCCAAAATGAAGGGCGGCAGCAAGTTCACCTTGGTTGCAGCTCTATCAATCCCCATCACTGTCGTCGTCGTGATCGTGATCGTGATCGTGATCGTCATCGTCATCATCATCATCATCATCATCGTGTTTCCTATCGTTCCCCCACGGACAAACCACAGCATGCGACATAACAACTTGCTTGTCAGGAAAGGTTGGCCAAAACTGGCACCAAAGGTGCCTGTATCGTGTCCACTGCATGCAAGCCTATAAGAAAAGAACCTGCCGCTGACAAAAGCGCTGCAAGAACTTCCACAAGCCCAAGGTCTTCTCCGTTAACAAACTCTGCCAAAAATATAGTCCAAATGATGTCCGTGGACTGCAGAAGCAAGTGCATACCTTGGTTACATCACAGCCAAATCACTTTTTCTGAGGGTTTCTGAGCACAAATGGCCCATTCCTGGAGAGGCATTACGGTTGAGGAAAGTTGCCGACTGGGATCATTTGCAAGCCCCAGTTCGTGACACCATACTTGAGACCAAAAAGAATGCCAACAGGCCCAATGTGTCTCAGCTTGTACTGCATGTGCTCTCCAAAAATCCATGACGCAGCACTTCTGTCCCAAACATGCCCACAAATGTTGGCAAAGGTCAACACCAAGGAAACCAAGGACAATTGAAGAAATGCTGTCGCCATTGGGTAGGGGTACTTTCGGAGGCACGCTTTGCCATCACAAACTCCTTCAGCGAAGACCAGCTTGTTGTATATGGGGACTGCAGACACTGACAAGCAGAATATCAAAGTAGCAATACCCACCTTGAGCCGCCAAAGACTTTTGTTCTTGGAAACCCCCGGCTGGGAGAGGTCTGCCATCATTCGACCATAAGCATGTCGTGGCTAATCAGCCCAAATGCCACCAAATAACCGGAAGGTTTTTTACGCCCTTCGGGGGCATACGGCATGCAAGATTCAACTGTTTGATTGTCTTATCTGTTCATTGTGGATCGTTACATCCTATGATCGTTGAGTAATGAAGCGTTTTAGTTCTTTCATATCCGTTCTTGCGCCAGCTACCTCTTATATTTATTGGATCTCTTCTTGAACCACACACGACAGCAAATGCAGAGCAAGAGTTGCCGTCTGTAAACAAAGTGGACTACTCGGAAGATTCAGAATGCAAAGCAAAGCGCTGGACAAGCAAGGCAATGTGATGGGATCTGGGGATGGCTGCAAAAGAAGTTGCGATCAGGGCCAGGCTCTAAGAGGCCAAAAACTCCTCCAGCTTCCAGCTATATATATATATACAGGGAATCGCACTAAGACTCAGTACAATATAGAGTGCATTTAATATACAATGATTTGTGTATATATATATATTTATATAAATATATATATATAGATATATATATATATTTATTTATAAATATATATATATATGTGTGTGTGTGACCCTTTCACATTAGCCGGCTTTCCAAGCTCGAAATGACTCTACACCAAACACTGTGGGTGCGGATATGTCCTGCCTGCGCTCGTGTCTTCTGCAGGATGCCATGGATTTCTTGAAGGCTTTTCCTCAGGCAGGGCGTGAACCCCCCCAAAAAAGACGCACCCTATACTCTGCAACTGCAAATGCAAATATGCATCCCAGCTACACACAAACACACCACATTTGTGAATGCACAAGGGCGTGGGGGCAGTAAGCTTATTGGCAGAGTGTGCCCCGGGCGGGTGGAACAGTTCCAGTTCCAGTTCCACGTCGTCCAACACAGGAGACTGGGGAGGGGGGAGGGGAGTTTCAGTTCCAGTTCCAGTTCCACGTCGTCCAACACGGGAGATTGGGGAGGGGGGAGGGGAGTTTCAGTTTGAACTCAATGACACTGCCTTCAGAGCCGTAATGCGGCATACAGCATAGGCCAGATTACATTTGGCCAAGTGTCTGTCGGAACAAATCATCAATGGCTCCAGGACTAGGTCGTACCATGCTGAAGGCATCTGAACTCTAACATCTAGGGACCTAAACGAGCTGCGGCTGTTCAATTCAAAGTTTCAATCCTTGGCATCACTTGGCATTGCATTTTCATCCATTTCCACGTGATTGCATTTGCACATTGTGAAATTCCCACCAGTAAGCATACTGCTCGAAAATCTCTCAAGTGCAGCGCTTGTGCCTTTCGTGCAGGCACGCAAGCCTCATGGGTTGGGTAGTCGCTGTGGAAGGCTCGAGATCCCTACCCTTCAAACAGCAAGTGCTATGTTCCGATCGTTCATGAAGCCTTCTGCTGGACCTGAAGGTGGACGGCAGCAATAAAATCTTCAGACCGCAGCCGGGCAAAAAAAATCTGCATTTATCTAGACCAACTTCAAGATGAAAGAAAGTAATATTAATGCGCGCTCTGCTGTTTTTCCACCATCTTCTCAAACACTGTTCCTGTCGCGGCTGGCATTCCATCCAAGCTGAAGACTGAGGTGCACACCCCAGATCTTGGGCCATTGCAACCATCGGTTTCGAGTCATCTGCTTTGAAGACGGGAAAAGGATATAAGGTAAGGTAAACAAAATGAACACCTGGCGTCAGCTTTCCCATCCACACATACAGAAGTTACAAGTTACAACTGAGCAGTTGAGAAATGACACCAGCCCACGAACCAAATCTGTCGTGCACTGTCATTCCTTCGGGCGTTTTTGCTGTATGATGTGGTCATGTGACAGTGATATGTGTGCGCACACCCTGGCTCGAGCAGGCCCAAATCTCAATTTCGGAGGCCGTGCAAGATCTTCACTTCTGACGCTGGATTTTTTAAAGCCACCTCATAGATCTCATAGGCCTCAAACCTTCTGCTGGTGTCCTCAACCATGCCACCACCACTAATTTGTCGACGAGGAACCCATCAAAACGGACTGTTCCCATGCACCTGTAGACCGTGGAAGTCAGCAGGCTCTCTGTAGAGGTGAATGGATTGGCTCAAGGATTGTGTGGCAAGCAAGCTGCCGATCTTTTTAACATACGCTCAAGAAACCAAACTGCCTCTCATCAAGTTGGTCAAATGAGGCCTTTGATTGACACACGTGTGGACAGCAATTCGCAAGGCTACCAGTGCTGAATTAAACTTAGACATACAAGAGGTTTAGATGCCCATGTCCGCCGGCATCTCAAACCGTCACATGGAGAGAAGTTGGCCACCCAGGCTTGCAACCAACACGCACGCATATAAGGCAACACCGGCGTTAGCAATCGTATGGGTATTGAACGGTTTTGATATGTTTGTCCGGGTGGGTTGTTCAAGACACCACATATTTATACAGATATGTTTGTAGCGTTCTTCCCAGGATTGGTTGAAATAGTATAGAGTCTAGAGGCCGAAAAAAAATTGCGTTTACAAAGGTTTCGATTTTTCTTCCTGGTGGCCCTGCATGATCAACAAATTTGGTTTCCGGGTTCATTTACCCTACACACGTCCAACGACTTCTGTTCGTGGCTATGGGATTCATCCAACTCGGACAGTCCGTTCACGATATAAATATACCTCTTAGAAAACGTGACTGTTTTGTTTACGCCAAGGTTCATACTTCAAACGGCTCAACGAGTGACCGGGGTAACCAAGTTCCAACAGTTCGACGTCCTAATCTATACCCGGCCCCACTCGATTCCTATGATAACTAACGGTGGATTCAACAAGCAAACCGCCTTCACCATGAGACGCCATGAGTCGTAACATGTCGTAACTGTACTACACAAGTTTGTGGCCAATTACACTGAGACAACAATACAGAAAGTAGCCCGTTAAAGCTAGAGAAGCGAGGAAACAAGTAAGGAGACAAGGCAGTAGCAGCAGCAGAAGAAGACAACACGCCAATTAGGCAGGCAAACAACCGATCACGCAGACATACGAATGCAGAAGCAAGTAAGGAGACAAGGCAGCGCAAAACGCCGATCACACAGGAAGACAAGCTGGGAGAGAAGTGGGAAGTGGGGAGACATGCATACAAGGAGACAAGTGGGAAGACAAAGAAACAGAAGCAGACAAAGTGCAAGTCACAGAAGCAAACAAGACGGCAGACATGTAGGGGGACAAATGGGAAGACTTCAACTTTTCACTTTCGCTATCTTTCGTCGCTCGTCTCTGAGGTAACAGAGCTATGGGGGGGCTACATGGAACTTCGCCCATGGAGGTCGTCCACCTGCCATTACGGCCATATGGCCTTTACACACTTCATCATTCTAAGCAAAGCTTTGTCGCCATTCACGATGGTGTCCTCAAAACCAGCTTCAGAGGGAATTCACACCAAAGGCTTTCAAAGGAAAAATTATCTGCGCACGATCTGGTATTTTGCGTGTTCCAGCTCACTGAGCTCGTGGAGTACTTCTCCACTCGTTTATCTCAGCTTGGGTGCCTTGGCCGAACATGTGAGCGCGAAACACAAACCATACAGCACCTGCCTGGCAAATACCGAGATTTGTGGACAGGGATGTTGGTTCAGTTTCCCTGCCACGATTCTTTTGCGATACCAAGCCCACTGGGTGGTGGGGAAAGGGTGGGGCACCCACCCATCAGCGCTCCACAGTTGCCAACTTTTGCTTTGGCCGGCGCCTTCCTGCGTCATCGCTCTTTGGTACAATGCGCAATCTTGAGAAGCTGCAGCTAGGGCGTGCTGATGAGGCGGGGACGCTGGGGAACCAAGTGGCATTGGCCCTTTCCTCCACTCCCAGAGATAGTGTCCTCTTCCAGCTCAACAGTGATTGGGTCTGGGAGGGATGGCTCCAGGAGAGCCTCAGGAATACTTCCACTGAGGTCAAACATCAGGTGTCTGTGGGGGCCGGTGTCCATGCTATCTCACAATGCCAGACCTCACTCCCAGACGAAGAACACCAGGAAAAAGTTACCTTGCAACAGTTTTTGGATCAATGGCAATTATATGTGGGCATGGTGACTGCTTTTGGTCGTGATAGTCCACTGATCTGCCTGCGTCTTGACCCATTCCGTTTGAACTACCCACGTCTTGGAATCGTGTGGAAGTCCTGATTTCCTCAAAGTCAGACAGTCTGACTTTCTTCACACTGACGTCATGGATGTTCGATCATCTGAGACGCCTCCACTGGCTCCTCCAAGTGCTGTTGCCTCTTGAACATGGAGATCGCCCGCTTTTGTGGTGATCTTGAGGGTCTTGCTCTTGGTGCACCACTGAAGAAATGGCCATTGGCCTGTGAAAGCTTGGCAATCTTGAGCATTGGGGGGTTGGCAGACTCGTTGGAATAGTACGGCTCTTAGCTGCTTGGAGTTCTTGGTGTTGGCCTGTTCCTTCTTCCAAGTCATTGAAGTCATCAGTAGTTGAGGGAGGATGCCAGTCTAACGCATCTGGAAGAGCAAAATGAATTGGTTGGTCGGCGCCATGGCTTCGCAGTCAACAGCCCTAGGACTTTCTGCATCTTCGGTGGCTTCCTGTCGGTCGGACTGAGTTTTGTCTGGTTCCCAAGTAACCGCCAAGTGCGTCTTGGAGTTGCCACAGGTCCTGCGTCTCGTAGCTCATCTTTGTGGCGATGATGTGCGCGATAGTATGCTAGGTTCAGGCAAGTCTCGAACATGGCTTCTGCAGTTGAGCAAGAAACGGCAGCATGCGCAATTGTGGGGAGACTAGGAAGCAGCGGCAAACAAAGGACAAAGCACAGAAGCCGAAAAGTCGGAAGACAGGTGGGGAGACATGTAAGGACGCACACGCGCACGCACACAAACACACACACCTATCGAAGGGTCGTGGGGATTGCGGCGAGGAGGTCGTCGTTGATGTTGAGTGGGGTGATGTGTGGCATGGGTCTGAAGAGCTCCGGCGCGCGCCAGGTGTTGAGGGCGCCGAGGAAGTACTGCTGAGGGCTGAAAATACGGAGCTGCTGAAGCTCGTGGTCCGCGTGATGTAGGACCACTTCGTCGCCTGAAGTTGTCGAATAAGTCGGGCGGTGAAACGTGGTCGTTGCTTGAGATGGCGGGTATGTACTTGCCATTATTGCTGGTGGAGAAATGTGTCGCAGAGTTGATCCCTGAACGCGGAGCCATTTCCGAAAGGCTGTTTGGAAGGTGAGGTAGTATCTGGCTTTGGTAGGGTAGAAAGTAGAAAGCGCCGTTCATGTTGGCTTCAAAGAAAATGCGAAGGTGAGGAGGTAGCTGAATATGGTCAAGTGTGAGGATATAGTGGCCGTCGATGGTTGGGTGGTTGCGGTGGAGTAATGTGCGCAGGTGATCACAAGCACATGGGAGGTCCATGCGGTTGGCAGGTACGAGGACGCGTTCTTCCCAACGGCGGTGATTGTGGAGTTGGCTGCGGAGAGTGTTGCGGGCTGCTTCTCGCATTCTTGCATGTGGGTAGATGGAGAGGGATGGCGTGTGGTAGATGTTGACGGACTATGGATTTGAGCCAATGGTAGGTTTCGATTCCTTCGCCGGAGGATGGAGGGATCGATATGGTGACACAAAGTGGCGAAGGCAGTGGAATCACAAGTGCAAATCGCGGCATGGAAATTGCTGCGGGCGCATCAAAGGTGAGACACGACAACTTCATCACGCCAACCCAGAAGGTGCTCCAAAATGCCCCCCTCTGCCCTGGTCTTCATCTTCAGGCACATAGTCCAGCCATTGTTGGAGTTGCTCCTGGATCACTTCATGTTGATCTTCCCAGACCGAGCGCCCTCTCTTTCTACCTCCCCCGGACCCACAATCCTCATAGCCCTAGCTCCTGTTGCTGAAGCCGCCGTTGAGACCCTTGGAAAACTAAATGGATCATCCTGCCATAGGTTGTCCTTCTCTGACTCCTTTTGGTTCGGCTCCAACGACGGATCCACAACACTGCCCGCAGTTGCCCGGCGCGAAGTCGACGAAGAAGAACCCCCCGTTGTTGGAGCGGAGCCCGCGTGTACGTGGTCCCGGAATTTGTGGTTCCTGGATGGGAGGTTGTTTGCCCACCATCCTGCGTGTAGGTTTCCCCGGGTTTGGTTCCTCTTCAAGCGCCAATGCCGCCATAGGTCCCCCACCATCTTCAAGTTGGGTTTTACAGCTTCACGAACATGTAGGATCTTCCCGTCCGTGAGTTCAACCACCCACCCATCGTTCATGAGTGGACAAGAACGCAAAATCCGTCCCTTGGCAAAAGATGGTGCCAAGCCTCCTTCCTTGTGCCACTTCTTCATCTTGACATAGACCACGGCGTTGTCCCCCAACACTTCCATTTGCTCCCGCTTTCGCTCTTCGGCACCATGCCTCGTAGCCATGGGCCATTGGTCACTACCACATCCGGTTTCTGCCAGTTTGACCCTGGTCTTACGTTTCAACTGGTTGACTTCAGACCCAATGTGACCATTTGAGGCAGGATCATCACCTGCTGTGAACGTTTGTAGTATGCCCATGGTAGCACACCACTTTTTCACCTGCCGACTTAGCAGTTCTTTGGCTCGATCTGATTGAAGTCGTAGTACAGGGATGCCCATCTTACCGATCTTACATAGCCCGGAACTTGATGATCACGCGCTGCTTCGATGACCTCCTCCTGAGC